TCCTTAGGTCAATCACCTTCTCTTAGTTAATCACCTGTTCTTTGGTTGATCACAGTCTGCCTGTTAAAACCAACTTTCCTTGGATCAATCACCTTCTCTTGGTTTATCACTCGTTCTTTGGTTAATCATGGTTCGTCTGTTAAAACCAACTTTCCTTGGATCAATCACATTCTCTTGGTTTATCACTCATTCCTCAGTTAACCACAGTCTGTTATTAACATACTTAGCTTCTCTTGAGTTAATCATCGTCTCTTGGTTAATCACTCATTCATTTGGTTAATCATAGTCCTTTTGTTAAAGCAACTTTTATTTGGTGTAAACTCAAAGCATCTGCGCATTTGAGAAACGAGTGAGAAAAATGTAAGTATGCATTCCACCATTAACAAATTTCAAGCATTTTTACATTCAAGTTTTCTTCTTGTATTAAGTTATATTTAAATCTTGCATTACAATTCCTGTCATTTTTTTACTTTACCCTGCACTTCGATTTCGGTTTCATTTATTTTTGAAATCTTAGATTTCAAGTCTTGTTCCAAGTTACATCATTATTTTCTAAATATCACTATTTTGATTTCAAAGCCAAAATGATGTTTAAGGTCTTAAATGAAGCAAATATATTTCGGGAGATTTTCGAGTTTGATCCCTTAAATATTAATAAAAACTTGTTTTGTTTATCAAATTTCACATTAAATAAATTGACACACCCGGTGCGACCCTTTTTGTGTGTGTTTTACTTTGCATTTTTAGAAGAAAAAAATTTATATATATATATATATATATATATATATATATATATATATATATATATATATATATATATATATATATATATATATATATATATATATATATATATATATATATATATATATATATATATATATATATATATATATATATATATATATATATATATATATATATATATATATATATATATATATATATATATATATATATATATATATATATATATATATATATATATATATATATATATATATCTTCTTTCCATTTAACTTCTCAATTGTGTGAGTGTACATGAGATTAAAGTATGGTAAAATAAAAAAGAGAGAAGTTATAAAACCTGCAAAAAACACGTCAAGTAGAAGGGTAATAAAAAATTCAATGATTTAGATCTGAAACCCACTGAAATTAATATCTTAATTCATGTTGATATAATATTTTCATGTAAGCGGAAATTTGGACTGGACCCGTAGTTGTGGAGTGCCTCTTAATTCATGTTGATATAATATTTTCATGTAAGCAGCAACTTGGCTCATTCTATAGATTGGCTCATGAAACATGATAAGATTAATCCCATAATGGTTAATCTTCCTAATGGTAATTCCATAACAGCATTTATATGTGGAAATGTGAAATTATCCAATGAGTTTATTATTAAGGATGTCTTATACTTGTTACAATTTGAAGTTAACTTGATATCAGTTTCAAAACTATGTAGAGAGCAAGATTACAACCTAGTTTTTGAAACTAACAAGTGTGTTATACAGGCAAAGAATGACTTGATGAAGATCGGTTCAGCTAAAGAGTTTGATGGACTATATTACTTGGAAGGATCTCAAAGAGATAGTAATATAAGTTTTGTTTCTATTGTCTTTACCAATAAGAAAGCTAATGATGTAGCTCCAACCATTTTGTAGCATCTAAGATTAGGTCATCTATCATATGATAGAATGAAATGTATGAGCACAGTGTATAGCTACATACCTAGCAGTATTCATAAGGCTTGTGATGTGTGTCAACAAGCTAGACATAAATGTTTATCTTTTTCTATCAGTAATAATAATGCATGTAATCTATTTGATTTATTTCATATTGATATGAGGGCCATTTAATATTGTTTATGTGCATGGGTTCATGTATTTTTTTAACTATCTTAAATGACCATAGTAGACATGTTTGAGTTGTTACGTTGAAATCCAAAGTTGAAGTGGGTCAGAAGATAACAGATTTTATGGCCATGGTTGAAACACAATTTGACAAAAGGATCAAAACCATTAAAAGTGATAATAAAATTGAGTTACTCATGCCTGCATATTATGCTTCAAAGGGTATCATACATCAAAGAAGTTGTGTCTATACTCCTCGGCAGAATGGAAGAGTGGGGAAAAGGCATCAACATATCTTAAACATCAGTAGAGCACTCATGTTTCAATCAGGTTTGCCTAAGAAATTCTGGTCTTATGCAATGCTCCATGTTGGTCATGTATGGTGTTACGCCTGATCTAAGTTTCCTAAGGGTGTTTGGTTGTTTGAGTTATGCTTCTACCTTACCAAACAACAGACGCAAATTTGACTCAAGGGCAAGAAGATTTGACTCAAAGGTTCACCCTTTTAGATATAGTTAATCATGATTATTTCTAAAAATGTGAAATTACTTCAAGATGTTGGCCGCACTGGTTGTAAACCAGCTTCTACTCCCTTAGATGCTAATATTTGTCTTCATCGGGATATTGGCTCAGCCTTTTCTGACATAACTGCATATCATAAGCTTGTTGGTAGATTGCTCTATCTCACCACAACACGTCCAGATATTGCATTTGCCATGCAATAGCTTAGCCAATTCATTAGTGCTCCTACTGAATCACCCTATCGAGCTGCCATTCGTGTCCTATGATATCTCAAACGCTCTCTTGCTCGTGGTATTTTCTTATCCCAATCATCTTACCTACAAATACTTGATTTTAGTAATGCTGATTAGGGTGGGTGCATTGACACAAGAAGATCCATCTCCGATTATTGCTTATTCATTGGCCAGTCTTTAGTGTCATGGAAATCAAAGAAGCAGGTGACTGTTAGTTGCTCTTCAGCTGAAGCTCGTGCCTTAGCATCAGCTACTCGTGAGCTTCAATGGATCTGGTATTTGCTGCATGATGTCAAACAACATCATTATCGCCTTTCAGTTTTGTATTGTAACAATTAAAGCGCTATCCACATATCTACTAATCCTATTTTCCATGAAAGGACAGAGCATTTGGACATTGATTGTCACTTGGTGCGAAAAAAGATTCAAGCTGGTGTTATGCGATTGCTCCATGTTCCTTCTCAAGTTCAGACAGCTGATGTTTTCACAAAAGCCTTGATCCTCGTCCATTTTTTGATTGTTTGGCCAAGCTTAGATTGATAGACGTTTAGCAACCTCAAGCTTGTGGGCGTAACAGACCATATTGAAGATGAAGAAGAAAAAGATCATGTAGCATGAAGCTTGTGATGTCCATGATTACATCATGCACATTTTCTCACTTGGTTAGTTTAGTTAATTTGAGTTAGTTAAAATAATGTAACTATATAAAGTTGTAACTAACTTCATCAATCAATGCAAGCTACTATCATTCTTTGTTATCTCTTCTCCTTTTCTTCTTCCTTTTTCTCTCCATCTGCGGAGTTTCATGGTTGCTTAGAATATTCAAAAGAGAATTTGGAAGTCACAGAAATGTAACAATGCTGGTAACAAGAGTTACAAGCTTGGCTTAAATCCATTTTCTGATTTAACTACTGAAGAGTTTATTGCTTCACATACTGGGTTCAAATGTTCGATGTTAATGATAATGTTCCAACAAATTTTGATGGGAAAGAACAAGGAGCTGTCACTGATGTTAAGAACCAAGGCACATGTGGTAAGTTAAATAAAAATTATTTTCAATTATGTAGAGTTTTCATAGATCATTATCATATAAATTACATGTGATTTTATGAAAAGTTTTTGGCTTCTATACCATAGGTAAGTTTAATTCCAGAATTGTATGTTACCAATCACAGACACCAGAAACATAATACTAAACATGTTGACACTATTAATAAATTTATAAAATGAATAAACTAAATATAATCATTAGTTTTAATGTCGTTTTCAGACACCGACAATAACACAAATACATATTTCTTCAGAGGTGTCGGTGCTATAGAGAATATAATACTATTAAATATACGTGTTGCAGGATGCTGCTGGGCATTCTCAGCCATGGCAGCTGGAGAAAGTATTACGAAAATCAAAACCAGTAACTTGATCTCATTGTCGGAGCAACAATTGCTTGACTGTGATCAACAAAGCTACAGGTGTAAAGAAGGTTATATGGATAATGCCTTCAAATCTATAATACAAACCAACGGTATCATTGATCAACAACTCAATGTTCAGATGACAACCGCAACTCAATGTTCCTGCTAATGATGAACAACAACTACTACAAGCTGTAGCACAACAACCAGTATCAGTTGGGATCGATGTCGGTAGTGAATTTATGTTATACAAGGAAGGGGTATATTCAGGAACATGTGGAACACCTTTCAACCATGCCGTTACGGCGGTTGGTTATGGAGTATCCAAAGATGAAACAAAGTATTGGTTGATTAAGAATCAATGGGGTAAAAGATTGGGGTGAAGGAGGGTACATGAGGGTGTTGAGGGAAAATGGTGATCCTAGAGGTCAATGTGGCATTGCTGCGCATGCTTCCTATCCCACTATCTTGTACTACTTTCAAATGAATTTCACAGTATCAGTTCTTGTTGTGTTGCTATAAGTAACTATAAGTGTCCTATTTTATCTAAGTTTTCCTTTTTCTGAAGCTCTACGCTTCTTCGTGTTTGTGCTTCTATTGTGATGAAATTCAGTGTGTGTATATATATATACAAAATAATATACAAAACAGTAATTAGAGATTGTTTTGTTCTCTATTCTTATAATACAACAGCACTTCGACATGTTTATCTTTCAACAAAATCAATTTTTTTTCACAGAAATAAGAGAACTGTTGATTGATACACCAGTGTCTGACTCTGTATTTTGGTGGGAGGAATGAATAGACGAAATCACCTAGAATTCCCAATTTATGGTCAGTATAAAATTTTGACTAGAGTGGAAAGAATTTCTCTTGATAAAGAATAAGAATTTCATACCCTGTATATTGTAATGAACATACTGCAAAAATATGATTCTGCAGCCAATTGTGGTTATAATTTGATTAGCGCCTCATGATCATCTGGTGTCAACTAAGCAATTAACCTGCGACTTCATGTATCTCTCTATTAGGTCAGCAAGAGCTCTAATCAGTGACTTTGGGTCATATATAATACCCACTTTAGGATCAAGTATGGAGTCAACAACTATCTGCAAAAATATATATGATCAAGTAAGGTAAATTGCATCATAAAATGACCATGGATTCTATACCAAAATAAGTATCAAGAATATATGATCCCTTCATTTATAATTTTTTTGATAGATTAATAAAATATTCATTCTTTGGACTATTTTTTATAAATTTTAAAAGGTGTAGGATAAGAGTATACAAGTCTAGTGGAAAGTGGTCCAAAATAAGAAACAATTGCATGTGAAAATTAGTATTCTTGATTCCCTCAAAATTTTCTTATCCAATCACACTCTTAAGGTTTTCATACCAAAAACACTGCTACAGTTTTCTTATGAACATATGAGCATATAAATCCAAAGTTAAAGTCTGACTTTTGACCAAGCCATTTTACAATGTCATTCCAATGACTCAGATCATCATGATAATAATTCCTTTATATGACAAATACAATACACAATAACTACTCTTAAGAAGTTTAACTTTGATCCACTCTATACTTTTTATAATCATCTAATCATGTGTTGCCACACCATTGAAAGTATTTGAATCATGGTTAAAGCAAGTTTTACATCAGGTATAAATTAAATTTACTTCTCGAGACTAAATGCGATCTACTGACAAAGAAAACATGTTAGGTGAGTATATCTACCAAGCTAAACAGCAGAGATTATACCCACTCTATTTCACACAATAAACATATTTGGGAGACATACCACATCAAATATTCCTTGGGCAGCCAAACACTCAACATCAACAGAAACTGTACTGTTTCTTGGCACCAAAAGGGTATTGATATATTGACTAGGCTGCATCAAATATAAAAAACAAATAAAACTCTTTTACACATTATTAACGGTGCGCTATCTTTTTTTGCTTTCATTTTCTATTAGTTATTTTTAGCACAAAATATCTCATCTTGTATGAAAAGAAGAAATTTAAGACGACACTAGTGAAACTGTAAAGTTTTCTGGTAAGCCATGTCTAAAAGATACACTGAGAAATAATGGAGACAAGGAACAAATGATAAGACTAATGAAATTAGAGTATTAGAAGCGAAGCTAATTTGCATCCCAAAATTTTCATTTTATGTTTAGTTTCTAAGGGAACCAAATAATAATACTAATAAGAAAAAAAGATAGAAAGTATTTGTTTTCTTCACCCAAAAAGAGAGATGGAAAGTAAATTACACTCATATTCTGATGACAGTTGATTTTGATGATAGTAACGACTATAGATTCCTTTAAGCAAATATAATTTCTATTTAAAGAAATAGAAAAGGATGATTTCAATAGGAAGGAATTCTCACAATATTCTGTAAGCGGTTGCAAGATTCTCCGAATGTCCGATTTAGAGCATCGGTAATTGCAGTAACAAAACAAGATGCTGAAAAGCCATTAGTCTCCCGGTCATGCGTACCATTTAACATAAGTACCTATCATTTTTCAATCAAATTAGTGGAAAATGAAAAACAATTGAGCTAAAAAGTAGATAACTTCGATATGTTTACAGCGCCAAATCTAACCCAACAGTACTTGACCAATATAACAGATAACACTGTCTGAAACTCATGCATAGTAGGGGGCACGGAAAATATTTTACAACTATGCAAGAAAGCATTAATTAATCTCCAGTTAATAACACCATGCCAGGCATATCATGAAACAGGGGTCAAACATGTTGGAAAAATGAAGGCATGAGTCATGAGGATAGCACTACACTCAGCAATTACATGGATGGATTTTGTGGTTCAAATATCATAAGCATTAGAATATGTGAATAATAAAGAAGGCGTGGAATACCTTGAGGCAAGACCTTGAAGAAATAATCTCCCCAATTCCCAGTAATACCTAGAATATTTAGCAAGTCAGAAAGCATCTAATGGGAGAACAAAAGTGTCAGAGTAAAATCTAGTATAAATTGCCTCAAAAATATAAATGAAGGGTCGAACTGTCAAGTTACTAAAAATTCAGACACAACATCTATATATATATATTCGCAATATTCAATGAAAAGAAAGCTGCCGGGTATGTAAGCCCCAAATAATCAACGTTGCCATTAGTAAAGGCTGGTGCAACCACATATGATGGTAAAAATAATCAAAGCTGGCTAATTGTGAGAGTCTTACCAATGAGGGGCAGATTGAGGTAAAAAGGGAACCCATGCCATACACAATGCAATCGACATTGTATAGTTGTTCTAAGACAGCCGCATTAGGTGAGGGAAAAACCTATTCAAAATAGTGAAAAGAAGTTTGAATTATAAACTGCAAGTGGTTAGGAACACAATAGCCAAATTCAAATTTACATTTCGTCCAGAAAGATAATTAAGTTTAAAAGCTGTGCCGTATATGCCAGTATTAATATTTTCATAATAGAAGAAAACAAGTAAAATAGCGGCCCCAAGTAAAATAGCAGACCCATTAACACAGCTTTCAAAATACATGCTGCATATTATCTTTTTAATTAGATGTATGTAGTAACTTTCCTGGTAAAAGTGTGTTTCCCCTCTGTTCAAGTGTGAACTTTAAATACATATAGTTGATGGTCATGTTACAGTGTGTTAAAATCAATTAGAGATCAAACATTAGGATTTGCTAGTTGTCATTTCAATTATGTACACTGTAATTGATGTCTATCTATATTATAAATACAAACAAGGTGTGCTCTTTTAGATACGCAGACATTACACAGAAATACAATTTCAACATGGTATCAGAGCAGGTTCTCATTATGTGACCCTTTTTGGTGCTTCACTCCCGCTGCCGGAGGTGGCAGCATCACCTTTAATCTTTTTCTGTTTTTGGTATTATACAGTCGCGAAAGGTATCAAAGCCGACGGCCTTTTCAGCAACCAACCACACCGCTACGACCACCACAAAACCAGCCTACCCCCAGGAGATCACCGTCGACAGCCATCTCGCACGCTCATTCTGGATGACACATTTCAGACTGTCGGCACCACTTGTGTTGTCCTATCAGGCGTCACCTCAGCACACTAGTATTGCATCTGTTTTGGTGTTTGGTTTCGGTACACGAATACTTAAAGCATTTGTCTGTTTTATTGTTTGTTCTTCGTGCCTTCTTTTCTCATTCATGGATTCTCTTCCCACCGACGATCATTCTGGTGGTGATTCTCTTCCCACGTGTGGATCATATTAGTGGTGCCTTTTCTTCTCACCGAAGATCAAATTCAGTGGTGACTCATATTAGTGGTGCCAAATTCCAGAATTTTATAAAGCAAAATGAGAAAGATATACAAAGATATTTAACTATAATTCTAAGATATAGATAGAAGGGTGATGCCTGTTTCAAAAAAAAAAAGAAAAAATCATAAATCACAAGCTTCCAATAAAGTACTTAATTTGGCTTCTTTCCATTGTTACTGCTCATAGAGTTGATGTTTAAGGTTTAGAATTGAGGGGTTCTCAATTCTCATACGCACGCATAAGCTCCATATTTGCTGGGTCAGACACACAAGTCCTATTTCTAGTAGAGTCTAGACACCCTTTATATTAACAGCCTGGACTTTGGGAGTCGATTCCCTCTAGAACTAGTATCAAAGGATAGACTAACCCTTCTTTTCAATATTGGATTGATGCTAGACAAGGAAATCCCTTTCGAAACAGATCATCCCCCTTTTTAATAGCATGGTTCTTTGCAATGAACTATTTGCACCTTCTCTCGTTGAAATTCAATTGGCATGAAGGTTTCGGTTTCATACAGTATTTTTGTTTTGCTTTTACTTTTTCATTTTTGTCATAGTATGGCTTAGCCTCCATTCTATATGTCTTCATCAGGAAGATATATTTTCATCTAATATAATTAGAAATATTTCCTTCCTTTTTCCGAAATAACCCAATATCTCTTCTGCCCTTTTTTTTACCACAATGCATGACAAGATGTGAGAGTCAGACATACTTTAACAAAATGTGAAACATGACACAGCATTTACCTCATGGAGCAAATTTTTTCCTTCACTTGACATGTAGAACACCCGTTTTATTTTTGAAGGAAGAGCTGGAGCCGAAAAGCTTTCCTAACCATGAAATTATAAAATTTTAATAAAAGAGATATACAGTATGTAACAGTAATCAGCAGCATTACATAAAATCTCAATCAAGTGAACCAACAAACTATTGACTATGACTTTCAGTAGATGGACACACGAATCACTACTAAGTTCTATGAATGAGAAAACAATGCATATATTCAATTCAAAGTCAATACCCATCATTATAAGGGAAATCCCCCAGGCAAAATTTATAAAATAGAGAAGGTGAAATCATTGGAATAAACTAATTTTGAAATTTTATGTTTTTATGGAAAAAAATTCTCTGTTTCGAAAACAATTAACATCCAACATAATATCCTCATATGTCAATCCAATTTTCATCAGCTCATGCAACATCAGAATAAGAATCTTCAACTTGCTCATTTCATCAAATAAGAATCTCAAAAAGCTATACAAGCTTTATCTAAGGAAATTAAAACAAATTACAGTATGGGTAGGCAATGACAAGGAAAATACATTGTCTTACCTTAATAGGTACCATTGTTCCACTGGATGGATGAGAAATTTCATTTTGCCCCCGTATTATAGTTCCATCCTATTAAAATAACAGGTCAATCATCTTCGTGAATCTCTATTGAGTTTTCTTAACAGTAAACAAATAAACTTTCCCTAAAAGTAGCATTTAACTATTAAAAAACCATATGGTAATTTCACCATTAAATAGATGTATCATACCAATAATTCACACCCTAATGTAAGTCTGTCATTGGTTGAAATCACAGGGAGAACAAGGCTTTCAGGGGGGATATCAGAAACTCTTGAAAACAAAAATATTGCCGCATCCAAGGACTGAAAAAATATACGTGCTCCTGCAAAAAAGAAATTTCCAATGCTGCATAATTTATAAAAGTCAGCTATGCCAATAGAATGTTGCATGCGGAAAAGTCAATTAGTAGGTAATATTATTATATGTGTATTTTTTAATTTGAACCAGCTCGGCCATACCAGCATATCACCAAAGTAAAACAGAAGTTGCATTCGCATTACAGCAATCATTTATATACTTGGGAGACAAAATCTAAAAAATCAGTTGAGGGAGGGGAAACTATGGCACTAAAAAGAAAATCAGTGCAAGCATCTTTGCTGAATAAAATAGAGGACCTGCCATTGCTGAAACAAAATGCTCCTTCAGACCGGCAGAGGATCTGTATAAAGACCAGAAAGAAATGCAAATTTAATGCCAAATTTCTTCAAAGCACAAAAACTTTGAAAAAGCTTGATTATAACCATCATCGTATAATTTTCAAATGATTGGGCTGTGAGAAACAGTTATAGTTCCCAAAATAAAGGTGTGATATTACATAAAGTACTAGACTAGACTCCAAGAGCAATACATCCATCTCAAAAATAAATTACTAAGATGTAAGAATTGTTTTGCAACAAAACAGATTACTTAGAGCCAATAACAAATTATCAGCATTCAGAAATATCCCAAGTTTTCTTTGTAGAAGTCACCTGATTTTGGAAATAAACCAGAAAAGCTCGAATAGTCTCCCTGTAGGGTTTTGACACACCTTCCCATAAAACATGATCACCTTCCACAATAGAGTACCTAACATTATTAAAACGTTGAAGAATTGAGGCCGATAAAGCAATAACAGAATGACCTTAAAAAATAGAAATTTGATTAACCAAGCATGTTAACATCACAAAAACAAAGGTCAAATAGTATAAGAATATGTTGCAGTTTTAAAAAACTTGTGGAGGCCATGACATTGATATGACTTCTCAACTCAATTATACAAACAAGGCACCGCCCCTAGAAATTTAGAAACTTAAGGGCATATTTGGATTTTTTTTTTATTTGAGTTTATCTACTAACATGACTTATGTAACTATTTGGGAGACTTTAAGGAAATAGCCTATAACGTATTCATAAATTATTTTTCGGATCATTTCTACAAGCTTTCCATGAATAGTTTATGAAAACACATTATAGTTTGTATGAAAAACATCAACTTCATTTTATCTTTTGTTACAGAAATAGCTTATAAATAAGCAAACAATTATACTATAAGCAGTTAATTAAGTCGTTCATCAAAACACAGTATTAGATACTAACTAGGGGTGGAAAACAGACATGTCTATCTGGTTTAAACCTATCCTGCAAAGGCGCGCAAAAAAATAGGGTGGGGCAAACATAGCCGAGAATGCAGGCCTAAAACCTTGACCCGCCCAAAAAAATGCAGGCAAAACTAGCATGCCCCGGCAAAACAAAAATGCTCGGGAGGCAGGGCTCATTTTGCCACTCCTAATACTAACTAGTACTAACCAAAAACATCCAAAGAAACAACTTACAAGGCAAGTAACTATCCACAAATGAAAGAGAAAGAGTGACAATATGGTACCATTCTGATTTAGCTTGCAAAGCATCAAGAGATAAACGATGACCAAGCAAATTCCGAACCGCAAGAGCCTCAGCCGTACTTTGATCAGACAACCTCAAACACCTAGAACGTATATCTCCAACCGCAGGCCCACCTGAAACACACACACCACAATCAACCAAATCCCTAAAAAAAACCTCATTCCTCCCCCAATTTCAATTCGCCAAAATTCTCAATAAAGAAACACAATCAATCAATTAAACCATTAAAGATTAACAATGTATGTATATACACACCAAGAACACGAACGATCTCTGCTGTGCTTCCACCGTCGTCGGAAACGGGAAGAACATGAGCAACGCGCGTGGTGAAGTTTTTAAGATCCTCAACGACGCCGTTGAAGGCGGTTCCACCGGAAAAGACAAGCAAAGCAGGCTGTGGTTGAGGGAGGTTAGGGTTAGAGTAACAGCGAGGGTGAGTGCGATTGGGGGAAGATGGAATTGGGAAGGATGCCATTGGAAAAGAGAGGAAGATTCTGTTGGAAGTTGGGAAAGGGATTGGGAGGGGTGGTAGAGTGTAACGGAATGTGGGGCCCAATGATGTTTCCACCATATTTGTAAATCTCTTAATATAGTAATCGAGTAGACTTTTACTTGACTTGTGTTTTGTGATGACTGAGTGTGTCCTTTGTCCATCCATAGTCGGACTCCAAAATAAGCAACGGATCTTATCGGTTATTCCCTTTTTCTTTTTCTTTTTCTTTTTCTTTTTTAATTAATTAAAAAGACGAGTGAAAATGGTTATTTTATTTTAAAATAAAATATGGTATTTAAATTCAACTATATTATTGATAAGGATACTTTTATAGTTTGATTGAAGTTGTGCATGTTGGAGACGAAGTTTGTTCAAGCATGGCGTCGAAATATGTTAGCTTTGTGTTTAAGTTAACATGTCGATTTGAGCCTTGTTTGTGAGCTCAATTGTTAAGTTAACTAGTAGTCTAATTAAGCTTAATAGTCTATAAATAGACTAATTCTCTCAGGTTGTCGAGAGAGGTTAATGATTGATATTCACTTGTAATCTTTGAATCCTTATTGAGTAAGTGAATAGTAAAACAGTTTTAACTAATTCTTATTCTTATTCTTCCTTCTTCTCTATCTTTTGTAAAATCTAATAGGGTTTCTTGTGTTTGTTCAAGAAATTCAATCTTTTTCTCATATTTTGGTTTGTTTTTTATGACATCAATTGACAACAAACTGGTACGGTGAGCGTGGAGGAGAAGATGTCGTCAACAAAGTATGAGATTGAGAAATTCACAGGTGTGAACGATTTTGGTTTGGGCGCTTTAAGATGCAAGTCTTTCTTGTTCAACAGAGTTTGTCAGAAGCGTTAAAAGGATTGAAGAAGATGAGTGTTGCCGTATCGGAGAATGAGAAGACAACGATGGTCGAAAAAGCCCACAATGTCATTCTGTTGAGCCTTGGTGATAAGATTATCCGGCAGGTTTCAAAGGAGAAAACTACAGTTGGCATGTGGACGAAACTTGAAAGTTTGTGCATGACGGAAATGTTAGTTAATCGTCTCTACTTAAAGCAAGTTTTGTATTCATTCAAGATGAGTGAAGACGAAGCATTGGTTGAGCCTCTGGATATTTGAGAATATCGAGGTCAAGATTGATTATGAAGATCAAATGTTGTTGCTCTTATGCTTTTTGCATAAGTGTCATGCTAACTTCAAATAAACCCTCTTGTATGGAAGAGAGTCGTTGACCTTTAAAGATGTTCAATCTGCCTTGTACTCTAAGGATTTGAACAAACGAAAAGGAGTATAAACCATCTTCTGTTGGTAAAGGTTTGTCCATTAAGGGAAAATTCTTGAAGAAAGATGGTAGGTTTCAGAAGAAGAAGAAGAAGAAAAAGAAGGGTAAAGTTCTAAAGATTTTTTATGGCGGTAATGCTTCTAATATTAAGTGTTATCATTATAAGAAGGATAATCATATAAGAAAAGTATACCCTGATTGACTGAACAAACATGGTGGAAAGGATAATGGTAATGCAGCCTTGGTGCAAGATGGTTATGAATCATCTAATATCCTGGTGATTTCAAGCAGTGGCTCTAGCAAAGAGTGGATTATGGATTCATATTGTACTTGGCACAAGACTCCAAAGAAAGATGTCTTTATGAATTGTGTAATTAAGATGGTGGATCAGTGCTTCTGGGAAACAACAAAGCTTGCAAAATTAAAGTATTGGATCTCTGAGATTCAAGCTCCATGATGAGTCAATAAGTTTAATGACTAATGTTACGTATGTACCTGGTCTTAAGAGGAATTTGATTTCTCTTTGTGAGTTCAACAAGAAAGGATATGTTTTCAAAGGAGAGCAAAGCATCCTAATGAAAAGATCTGAGAAAGTCTTGAGAGGCATGAAGAAATAAGGCTTATATACCCTTGAGGCTGAGTTTGTAAGTGGTTCAGCATATGTGGCATCCATGAAACATGTGTCGAAGACTAAGCTATGGCACAAGAGACTTGGACATGTCAGTGAAAGAGGCCTGGTCGAGTTATCGAAACAATACCTTATGGGTGGTGATAAGTTCGAAAAACTAGAGTTTTGTGAACCTTGTGTATTTGGTAAATCCTGTACAATGAAGTTTAACAATGGTAAATAAAGAACACATGGATTCATTGATTACATTCATGCTGATCTTTGGGGACCTACAAAGAATCCTTTACATTCAGGTGCAAAATATTTTCCATCCATAGTTGGTGATTACTCTAGAAAGTTATGGATATTCATCCAGAAGACTAAGGATGAAACTTTTGAAAACATTAAAAGTTGGAAGACTCTAGTCAAAAACTAAATTGGCAGGAAGGTCAAGAGGTCGAGGGCCAACAATGGTCTTGAATTCTGTAATGAGGCTTTTGACAACTATTATGTTGGGTATGGTATTGCAAGGCATAGAACTACTGCAGGCACTCCCCATCTAAATTGTTTGGCTGAAAGGTTTAATCGAACCATTCTAGAAAGGGTGAGGTGCATGTTGGTAAGTATAGGATTGGAGAAGGTGTTTTGGGCAGAAGTTGTTGTAAATGCAACATATTCAATAAATAAGTGTCCCTCGACATTATGAGGAATTAAGACACCTGAAGAAATTTAGTCGTGACATTCACCTAGTCTCGGCAGACTTAAAGTATTTAGTTGTTTAGGCTATGCTCATATTAGGCAAACATATTCAATAAATAAGTGTCCCTCGACATTATGAGGAATTAAGACACCTGAAGAAGTTTGGTCATGACATACTCTTAGTCTCGACAGACTTAGAGTATTTAGTTGTTTAGGCTATGCTCATATTAGGCAAGACAAGGTCGAACCTAGAACTCTGAGATGTATGTTCCTTAGATACCCTGAAGGAGTCAAAGCTTATAATTCGTGGTGCCTAGAGCCAGGTCACAGGAGGTATATCACAAGTCGAGATGTAGTTATCAATGAAGCTGAGATGGCTTTCAAGAAAACTGATGACATTGGTCAAAGTTCAAAGATCTTTGAAGAAGAGATGAAACAAGAAGAGATTCCTGTTGAGGTGGAGCATAATAATACTTAATTGTATGACTGAGATGAAATCGAAGAAGATGCATAAGTTGCTGTCAAAGCTGAAGAGACTGATAATGACTACCTACTGGTAAGAGACATGTTGAGAAGATTTATCAAGCCACGTCAGAGACTTGGTTATGCAAATCTTATAGATTATGCCTTAATCTCTACAGGGGCCAGGTTAGTCAATTGCAAGTGGATCTTCAAGGTTAAGGAAGGAATCAAAGGAGTGATGTCGAAGCGTTTTAAAGCATGTTTGGTTGCTAGGGGGTTCACTCAGAAAGAAGGTATCGACTTCAATGATGTGTTCTCATCTGTTGTAAAGCATAGATCCATTAGAATGTTCTTAGCTATGGTGGCGAAGTTTGACTTAGAACTTGAACAGATGGATGTGAAGACTGATTTCCTGTATGGTGATCTAGATGAAACAACCTTGATGAGGAAACCTGAAGGGTATGCAGAAAAGGGAATGGAAGATTATGTGTGCAAGTTGAATTGGGTCTTGCTTGTAAGCATAATTGTTAAGTTAACTTGTAGCATAAGTTAGCTTAGTAGTATATAAATAAACTAGTTCTCTCAGGTTGTTGAGAAAGGTTAATGGTTTGTATTCACTTGTAATCTTTGAATATTTATTGAGTGAGTGAATAGTAAAATAGTTTTAACCAATTCTTATTATTCTTCTTCCTTCTTCGTTATCTTTTGTAAAACCTAATAGGGTTTCTTGTGTTTGTTCAAGAAACTCAATATTTTTCTCATATTTTGGTTTGTTCTATTGTATAAAACAATTTTGATTTTTTTATATATATTTTTTGTGATAAAGTCCTATTGTATAACATTTTTGGTAGAACTTTAAAAATAAAAGTTAAAAAAATGGAAACGGTTTTGAGAGGAACTAAAAATGTAAAATGAATTTGTACAAGTGGGATTCTAATGTGGTGCACTAAATTTTCTATTAGGGAAGCATAGGGTGTACCTATAAGATTACGACTTCAACACCTAAATTGTGGAGAGCATAAACAATGATGAGTAATGGAGATGGATTTGAATTACTTGTAAAATGGCATGTGAAGGTGAGAAAGTACTTAGAAGGGGGTTGAATAAGTATGAAGATAAAATCTTAGAAGTAAAAACTCAAGTATTTTTATCCTGGTTCGTTGAACTCAACTACTCCAGTCCACCCTTTCTAGAGTGATTTATCTTTCTCAAACAAGGACTTAATCCATTATTTAATCAACTGATTACAATAGTAAGCACTAAGAACAACTGTTCAAAGTCTTCTCAAGAACTACTGATCCTAACTGGATCTTCTTAAGGTTTTCTTACAATCAAATGTAATAATAAATACAAGTGTTAAAATGCTTCTAATAAAGCTTTATCACAACTGTGATTTTTCACTTAAGATTAAGAACAAAGAAATAATTCTAGCAAGAATATATGAGTTGTATGAGAGCTTTGATAATGAATTCTTTTCAAGTGTTTCGTCAACTAAAGAAGATGAGTGGAGACTTGCTTTTATAGGCACAGTGATCCAAGAGCTTTTCACGTTGAGAAGAGTGTACCAAAAGGTCTGAGCCTTTTTGTCTTCACATCAAGTGACCTTTCATAGAAGAAGAAAGCACAGAGAAATCCTTTTTTGTCTGTGTTCTTGTGTCTAGCATAAATAAGGAAAGAGTCGTTTGGATATTCCAACGGACATAATCTTTGAATTCTTCTTCAACAATTTTCAGCAAGAATCATCAGAGTCTAATTTGATCAGAACCTTCTGATGTTCATCAGAGTTTTGCTGAATCAGAGTTTTTGTAGCAAGTGTGCTTTTAGCGTGTATAAGTTCAGAGCAGAGTTTTGGGTCAGATCCTCAGTACTGGCAGCGTTAGTACTATCAGAGTCTTCTGAAGTAACTATGCTTGAAAACTCTTCATACAGAATTCTTCATTGGTTCAGATGCTTCTAGCTTGCTTCAGATTCTTCAGGAGCTTCTGCTTCAGATCCTTCTGGAGCTTCTGCTTCAGATCCTTCTGG